TATATAATTTGATTTTTGTGTTATAATAAGATAAGATAAAGTTTGCTAAAAGTATCATACCAATACGATAGTAACTCTCCATCTAACTTTAAAAATATTATAAAAATCCGCTTGATTTGTTTAAATTGATTTTCATTGGTGAATTTTTGTTTAGATGAGTGAGTGTTAAAATAAAATTTAATTTCAATACAACATACAGTTCCATACAATTCAATAAAATATATAAAATACAGTTGATATATTTTAAAGTATATTTTTTGTTAAATATTAATTATTTTATGAATTGCATACATTTTAAAATTAAATTCATTTAATAAATAATAAACGTGTATTTTTGTTTGCATATTTTCGCATATTGTTGCATATTTTGGAAGCATATTTGAATGATAACCATTGCATAAATGCATGCATATTTCGTACGTTTTTAGTGCATATAATTCTGGGCCCTAATTATTAACAATAATAATACGGTAACGCACTAACGTGTCACTCTTTTTCCAACTAATGAGTGATTAAATTGAAGGTATATACGCGATGAACTTGTACCGATAACGCCATGGTCTACAGGCGGATTCCCATGGCACGCGACTTGACGAGCCACGAGTTTACCCGATCCGACCAGAGCTCTTTCAAAATTAATCCACCGAATTTTTCAATTTAAATTACTTTTGCTAAAATGACTGTGCTCTAGATCAGACGCGATTTAACTGCGTATTTTGTAACGTGCGGTAATTGAAAAAAAAAAATTACTCGAAAAACCGAATTTAAGGTTGGGCTTCATATAATCCCAAAAATTCTAAAACTTCATCGTTGGACCATTCCATGTTTTATTATTATTATTTTTTTAATTTAGTTCAATTATAATCAAACATTACTAATAATAATATCAGACTTGGGTAAAATACTTTTTAAAAGTATTTAGAATAAATACTCGAATACTTACAAAAAATATGATAGTATTCCGAATATGTATTCAAATACTTTATAAAAATTGTATTCCGAATACATTATTTAGAATACTTCAAAAGTATTCCGAATACTTTTAAAATACTTCTAGTTTTAAATACTATAAAAATAATAAATATCTACTCAACAGAAATATTTGAAATCGCAGACTAAATATATGTTATTTTATTGTACTTTTATAATACATAACTTATAGTTTATGGATTACAATAATAATAAATTCCTGATTTTAGCTTATACAAGATTCGACGGAGAAGTAATAAAATCATTTAAAAAATAGACGATTTGACGGTATTCAAAATACAGTATTCAGAATACTTGTTATAAGTATTCAAAATACTTTATTGAATACTTTCAAAAAAAGTATTTAAAAAGTATTCGAAATACTTAAAAATTATTCTGAATACAGTATTCCGAATATTGTATTCGAAATATTACCCAAGTCTAAATAATATTATATAATATATTAATAATCAAATATTTCAAATTTAAAAAACCAAAAAAATGTATAGCAATGTCGAATGTGTAATACAAAATGCGCACATGTAATAAAATAGAAATCCGCTATACATTACAGGCTCGTCGAATTGCGCGTTTGCGGGAACGCTGTTTAAACGCGCGGAGCTCGTTTCCTTCGGTGCGCAGACAACGGGCTGACAATTTTCGGATAGCCACGAGCCTCGCCGAGCTGTACCGCGTCTAGGCGACAAAGGCGTTCCCACGGCGCATGCCGTCGTGATTGACTCGTGAATCCCGCCTTAAGATAAGCTATAATCAAGTACAATCGTCGTCGCCCTCATTACCAACGAGTTCTTGGGAAAAAATGTATATTACTTTGCTAAAAATAAACGAATACAAAATACTCATACACCGTTCAAAATTTGTAACGATAAAATCAATTTTAAAAAATACGTAATATTATTGTATTACAATGTAATGTAATAATAAATATTAATCAACAATAACATATAATATAGGTAATGTAATATTATAACACAAAAACCAATATTCAACAAAATGTTGCCGCCCTATGCGGTCGCATAGTCTTAAATCTGCCCCTGTATGTGTGGGACAATCATGTACAGAAAATTACTTGTGGTGATGAGAAAAATTGTGTCAAGCTTAATAACTTCAATATAATATATAATCAATATCGTCTGTGCAATTAATGAATTTCTATAATTCTACTTGACTCATTTGTAAGTCTTTACATCTATACTTATTTAAAGTATTTATTATTTATAATGTTTAAGGGATATAAAAGTAGGTATGCACCGAATAGCTCATTTCCAAAATTTTGGAAAGTGCGCATACCATATAATAAAAATTATGATCGCAAAAACTCGCGTAAACCTAAAAATCTACTCAAAAAATATTCAAATGATAACTTTGTAGAAAATGTGAACTTTAAAACAATTTAACGAATCTCTAGACTTTTATCGTTTAATGGCTGAATACTTATATTATAACATATTGCAGATAAATGTCTATATTTGGATAAAACGTTTTAGGATTCGTGAAAACAGAATACCTTTAATGATAAAGTTAATAACGTATCTACTACAGAGACGGTTTGAACATTTACATCTTACCGGAGCAGTATGATTTAAACCACCCCACCTACCTAGAAAAAATTGTTCTGGCTTCCCTCTTATCATATTAAAACTACTTAAACGCTAAAACGTAAATTATGTATCTTCAAGTATGTTTAAAAATATACTGGTATGCCTTCCAAATTTTAATATATTTAAACAAAATGTACATAAAAAAATTTTTTACCGGGGCACCACCCCGGTAGAAAGTACTTACAAGCCGCTTCTGATCTACTAAATAGTTTTAAATTTGTCTGTAGTTGACAATAAGTATATATTATCGTGGTCGCCATTATATATTTTTTTATTCACTTTTTGCATATATACTCACGGAGAGTGACAAATTAATTTTATTTTGTCGTGTACCATTGCACAATCGCGAATAAAATTTACAAATTTGTAACATCATATGTTGAGGTAAGTGAATAAACTTTATAAACTTTATTTTATATTGAATAATTATTTCAAAATATTGTACATTAATTAAATTTAGGTACCTACTATTTTATTATACTAAATTATGTGCATGGTTTTTTATAATCTATTTTATTGGAAAAAAATTATTGATTGACCGTTTATAAAACGTTGTATAGGCCGCAATTACTATAGATACAAATATTATATATCTGTTATAAAGCTAGTGGGAGTTTGTACTTAACATAAAGGTACTTCTTAAAAAGCAGTTTGAATATCAGCAATATTGTTGAGTATATCTATTGAATATATACATGTCACATTAAAAACAATTTTAGAAAACTAATTTTAGTTGAGAATTAGTTATTTTTTATACTTATGAAATACCTATACAATTACATGAAATAATTTATTATAAAATTTTTAGTTAAAAATTGTATTTTTTTTCTATTCAAAATCATTAATAATCATTATAACTTTTTATACTTAAACATAAATTATACTAGATCTACTGCTTTTAAAATTAATTTATTTTAACTGTTTTTGAATTCAAAAAAATAATAATAATAATTTTTATTATTTTATTACAAAAAAACTTGTAAAAAATCTACTTACATGTAGTGATAAGATACATGTCATAGTGTAATATAATATAATATGATACATCAATTTCTAAATTAAAGAATACTTTTTAAATATTAATATTTTAAAACAAGAAATTTATTAAAATATCAATATGTTCATTTTACAATTATTATTAAATACCTACCTATATATTTTAACCATATAATATATGTATATATATATATATATATATAATGCACTAAAAATTATAATGTCTGCAGTAAAATATTATGTAGATAAAATAATAAATAATTGGGTTATAAGTTATACTAATTCTATAATTATACCTAACATCTATAATATGGTAAATACTATCAGTAATTAGTCATTATTATATAATTAAATAAAATTACAATATGAGACAGTAAAAAAAAACATATTTATTATAATAATAATATACATTCAATATAATTTACAATTGTATATCCGTTTATCTAAATATTACAAGTATGCCTTAAATTTAAATTGATCTATCAAGTCAAACAAAATACACAAATTAATACATATTTATTAAATTGTATTTCAAACCATACGTATATGTGTGAAAATATTTTCAATTTTTACCTAAATTATTATTAGTTAAAACAATAAATATTACCAATGAAACAAATCAATATGGACATATGAAGTTTACATTATTTTGACATATAATTATTAATACAAAATAAAACACATGCGCTGTATAATTTCATTACAATTTTTACTGTGTATCGAAAATATAATGTAAATTATTTTAGATGAGTCATTGCTTTGATATAACGCGTTATAAATATGTATCTACAATTTAAAACATTTTTCAACAAAAATTTATTGATTCCGTATTATATTTATAAATATATAGATAAAAAATTATACTGATAAATGTATATATATATAATATAAACAATTATTTTTCAATTATAGCTTGAAAGGAACGTAGTTACTTTTTTATTAAAAATCAAAATAATTTCTTTACAATTTTATTTAAGCAATGTAAAATGTAAATTCGTTACATTTAAATAATAAATAGTGAATAAAGTAACTTACTAATTTTTAAAGTAATTAACACGAAAATGAGAACAAATAAATACAAATTACCATACATAAGTATAAATCAAATTAAATAATATTCAATTCAAATAAACTATAGTTTTTTATGTTTATTAATAAATACTTATATATATTTTTTTTTAATTCAAAAATCATGAAATAAAAATAATATAATCGAACACGTAGGATTATATAATATTATATTATACACATATTTATATACCTAATTATTAGCAATTAATAGTTATATTTAAAATCAATGGAACAATTTACATTTTTCCTTAAAAAATTCATGCTAAAAATATTCAGTAATTAAATACATTAAAATACTTATTTAAACATTGTGCAGTAGCACTGGAAGTTTATGTAAGGCATTTAAAATTATTTTCTTTTATTAACTTATATATATTTTAGATGAGCGTTACAACATAACAACACATTAGTTTATTGATTAAGTCATATGTTCAGATAAATCATTAGAATCATTAATGAGTAGTACTTTAGTGTAATATTTTAATTTACCTGATATATATCGACTCCTCTTCGCATATTTAATTAAGTCATGACGTTTATACATATGGAACTTTAAATTGTTTAAATATGAAAATCTTCCATCACATATATTACACGCATATTTTCGTTTACCAATGTGTGATGCATAATGTTTTGATAAGTATGATTTTTTTTTGAACAGCTTATTGCATTCGGGACATTGATATCGAATGTATGGTTCATGTGTGCGCTCATGTAGATCAAATTGCTCTTGAGTATTAAATTGTTCTGTACACAATGGACAACAATACTGTAAAATTTTTGATTCGTCAGGCTTACTATGTAAATTGTCAGAAGATTGTATGTTTGGAACCTCAAAAATGGGCGAATTCGTGTCCTTTTTAGTGGGTTCTATTGAATCAGATGAATCACTAGAGACTAGTACTATATTATAATTTTTTGGTATATTTCGTTCATAACGAGTACAATTATTATAATCAATTCGATTATGATGCATTTTCAGATGATGATTTAAAATGTAGACTGAATTAAATTTTTTATGACATATACTGCACATGTATTCTCGTTTAATGCCGTGTAATGTATGATGTTTGAATAAGTTTTCTTCTTCTTTGAACAACTTATTGCATATGGGACATTGATACCGAATGTATGGGTCATGTGTGGGCTCATGTCGAACTAATTGCTCTCGAGAACTAAATTGTTCTGTACAGTATTGACAGCAATACTGTAAAGCACTTGATTCTTCAGGCTTACTACTTTGATTCAACTCATTATCTATAGCGGTTGGATGTTGATGTCCGCGCTCATGTATATCTAATTGATCTTGATGAGTAAAGCGGTTTGAACAGTATTGACAAGCATACGGTGTAGCGGCTACGAATTCTTCATACTTTTTTGAATAATGACTCCACTTATCATCAGATGAATCATCAGCATCATCAGTTACTAATACTTTTTTGTAATGCTGTGGTAAACTTAGCTCATAACGAATGTAATTTGAAAAATCAGTCTGATCATGACGTTTTTTCAGATGTTTCCTTAAAGTGCTAAATAATAAACAATTTTTTTCACATATATTGCACCTGAATCTTCGTCTATCGGTGTGTGATTCCCAATGTTTAAATAATTTTATTTCTTTTTTGAACAGTTTTTTGCAATTGGGACATTCATAACGAATATACGGTTCATGTGAGCGCTCATGTAAATCCAATTGTTGTTGAGAACTAAATCTTCCTTC